TAAAGACTAATTATATTTATGTAGCTTATTTTAAAATAAAGGAGCGAAATTTCTCGCACTTCTGTAATATTTTGTCAATATTAGCTTGCTTTTTGAAACAGCCAGTTTGAGGAGCTCATCTAAATGTTCATTGATAACTCGTTTGATATTTTATCTTTAATAAACTTCATATTACTTAAAGTTGCTGCATACAACACAGATATGTGAATCCATAAAGGAATAATACTTTTCGGACAACATAGCTGAAGAACTAAAATATCTAACCATTTTTAAGCTTATCTTTGAACGTTCCTTCTAGTGCTGTGTCTTCCAGCAAATTAATCAATTCATTTTTCAAATATCTTTCTTCGTGACTAGGGGTAGTTGCTAGAACTCATATCTTACAATGAAGCGCAAATTAGTTTGTTTAAAAAAAATATTTCTTATTTCTTATGTCGATGACCATTCACTCTAGTAGTTCAGCGGTAATCCTGGTGCCTTCTTCTCGATTGATTGTTTTGTGTGTGTGTGTGTGGTCGTGTTTCTGCGATCTGGGACGGTCAGTTGCTATGAAGACCTCTTTTCTCCCTCCTTGATGCTATATTTTCGGTTGAATGCTAAGTTATAGCATTTAGCGTTCTTTTGCTATTTCTCGTAATTTGTATAACAGTCCTACACTTCACAAACAGTTCCGTTGCCAAAATCAACACTTTTTCGTACACCATTATGCCATACAGTGTCGAATATTTTTATCTTTATCGAGAAAGCATGCGACAGTGCATTATTTATTTTTATTTAAAGCTATCTACTATGGTTTCAGTTAACGTAACAGAATGATATATGGTTTGCCGAAATTTTCTGAAACCATTTTGTACTACAGGTAATTTTGACGTGACTGCTAGGAAAGTGGTGAGTCTGTTGCTTATTTTTCCTTCTAGAATTTTACCTGTGCAGCAGGTCAGGCTGATTGGACGATAACTTTCTGTTTTATTCGCTGGTTTACCTTCCTTTAGAAACATAAAAATACTTGCTTGCTTCCAAGAGGCTGGGATATAACCTGAGTTTAGGGATAGATTAAACAATGCTGTCAACTAGTCAAACAGTTTCTTAGTGCCCTTTTAAAGGAAGATGGCTTGTATGCCGTCTTCTCTCGATGCTTTGTTTTTTATGTGTTTTATGAATGTGATGACTTCTATTTTGGTGACTGTATTTGTCATTTTGCTAGCATAATCGTTATTGTGTATTTGTTGTGGATCTTGAGAGTTGGTGGTATTACCTGAAAACCTCTATGTGTGTATGTGTTTGTTTTGTAGTGCATATTCATTTACCGTATTAAAATAATGAGTTTTCATATTTGGGTCTTCATGTATTTTGATTGTGTTCTCGCACTGTTCCTCAAACGTCTCTGCTTTTTGTATCGTTACGCCTCCGGTCATTAGTTAATTTTCGGTATAATTTCTTTCCAAAGAAATCTTAGCGATACAAATCCTTTCTTAAGTAAAACTGGTTTATTCTTTCTGAATAAAACTTCGCAATACACTTAATTTCCACAGTCGCGCTATAATAAACGTTATAATTCACAACGAACGTCTCACGTGCTCGACTCAACAATACTCTCTCTCTGTCCGCAGTTCAATTACACATTACCTTGTTGCCGTCACGTCTTGACCGTCTTATAAATAAAAGAATACTGAAATCTAGTAAACGCTCGAGCATTCAGGAAGGGACAGGATCCTTCTAGAAGTTCATGACGTGTTACTAGCGTCACGTGATCTCCGCTGTCGTAACAGTATGTTTGTGTACGCTATTATACTTTGTAGTTTAGTGTGGAATAAGTTATGTGGGCATTTTGACTGTTTGTGAATCGTTTTAGATTTGTCCAGAATTGCTTTGTATCTGTATGTTCATTCGGTTGTGAGCAGTATGAATCCCATTAATCTTTTTTTGGGGTTGTTTTATTTCGTTTCTTAGTGTATTCATCTGTGTTTTGACGTAAAGTCTTTTTAATTGGCGGTATTCTTTTATCATATTTATTAATTGTGCACGTAGTTGCCATGTATTATGAGTGGTTTGTTGTTTCTGTCTTTGTATAGACTGCTCTGGAGCTTTGGTAAGGTACTCGGTAATTGTTTGGTAGTATTCTTCTACATCTTCTACTGTTTCTCGGCTCGGTTTACTATCGAATCCGGTAGGATGTTAGCGTGGTCTTTCTCGTTTGTTTTTTATAATTGAATTTTGGTTTGCATATAGGTTTATTATGGTAGGGTTCGAGATCGAAGACGCACCAGATGGGTAGATGATCACTGTCTATATCATATGCTACACTGAAATGTGTACATTTGTAGCTGAGTTGTGATTGACATATACATAAATCTAAGATGTTACTGGTGTTGTGTGAGAGATTTGTAGCATCATTTAACACACAGTGGCTATTTTCTAAGAAGTTATATAGTTTCTTCCATTTGTTATTGTTGTACTTCGTCCAAATACTAGGTGTTTACTATTGAGGTCTCCTACTATAGTTGTGTCCGTATAATTTGGTTAATAGATCTATATCAATAGTTCTTGTAGGAGAATAATAAATACCTGATATTGTGATGCATTTATTATTTGTTAAGTGGACGTCTATTGCTATACATTCATTAGATGTATCAGTCATTATCTGTGTGACCGATAAAGTAAAGTCCAAACCGTATTTCGCCCATTTTTATATAATTTGTCCACTCTGATTGACGTGTATCCAAAGAATTTAGTTGCGTCCAGAAGCCTTATAACGCTAAAAATCGGGTTTCAATATTCGCGGAAGAAACAGCACAGATAACCCATTGTGTATGTTTGCGCTTAATAGCAAACAAACAAATAAACTATAAATATATACTTCTGAGGCAGATTTGGAATAAAGTTACTTTGCGATAAACGTGATCTGTGAGTAAATTCATAATTTATATTGAAAGATTAAATTTCCCAAAACTGCCGAAATTCTTTGGTAATTTTATGTTAATAACTCATTTTGCTTTAGCCGCCCTTGGAACTTTTTTTTTCTAATTAAAATAAGTACGTGTATTTGTAAAATAAACTTTAATTGTAGATATAGTCTTTTAAAAATATTAAACTTGTATGTTTAAAATGCTATACTTCCAAATGTTGCAATTTTATATACTTAAAATAGCTCCCCAGTGGAACAGTGATATTGTCTGCGGACTTACAACGCTAGAATCCGGGTTTCGGTAGCCGTGGTGGGCAGAGTACAGATAGCCCATTGTGTAGATTTGTGCTTAATTACAAACAAACAAACATTTAAAATATACGTAGACTTCTGTGCTCTGTGTATACATAAAAAAATAAATTTTAACTGAAATTGAAAGAGTTCACTTTACTAAATAAAGGAAATAGAAAATTCATAGTATGCCTGCATACTACAAGGAGAAAATGAACAGGGTTAAAACTACAAAAAAGGTGAAAGTAAATAACGAAATTAAATCAATAAATCTTAAGAAAAAAATAGAAAATACTCTGTATAATAAAGGGGACATGGGCTCATCTTCTGTTTTGAGAGTTACCTCTTCCATTCTAAGTAAATAGCTTTCCAGTTAAGTCTTTTGTCTGCAGTTCCTAGTAACGCCTAGAATCCGGGTTTCGATAGCCCATTGTGTTGCTTTGTGCTTAATTACAAACAAACAAATTATTTTTACTTTGCTGATGTAATTTTGTATATTTCCTATAGGTTATTTGACCTTATTATTACTATCTTTCTGTAATTATTTGATATTATTATTGTAATCATTCTGCATTTAAAAAATCTTATTGTTGTATTCTTTCTGCGCACTATCTATGGTTTTTTTTTTTCACTTCAATCTGTACATTTTTCATGGCTTTTTCTGTTGCTTTAATACGTAAATTTTATAATTTATATTCCATCATACTGATTTCGGTTTGCAATACTTCTGTAAGTCCAACATCTCATTCTTATAATTCTTCTCATAACTTCTCGTCTGTTTCTTCTTGATCTGAGCTTGGCATGGTTAGGACGTTCAACTTAAAACTTGTGAGTCGCGAGATTGAAACCAGGCGCCGAACATGCTTACTTTTGATAAACAGTTGTTGGCGCATGGATACTCCTTGCCTGGTCGGTAGTTCAAAATGAACGATAATAGTATTGTCTTACACAAATAAACAAACAATCTTCTTAATGTAGCTTTTTTCAACTTTCTGTCTTTTCTTCTTGATATATCAATATTTTGTATCTTTTTTTTGTTTTATTTTCTGTTTCTTTCTTCCAATCTTTTCCCTTTTTCTTCCTGATCATCCTTCCACAATTTCACAATTGTCATTAAATTTTCAACCTCGCTTCAATTAGTATCGTCATCTTGAAGTTCACTCTGGATTTTACTTTATTTTTAGCAAAATAGTCCAACACCTGATACCAGCGTTGTAACAATTTATATTTTTGTGCGTGTTCTTTTGGATTATCCGGTAAAAAAAATACGGTCCAGTTCTAATGGTAACGAAAGCGTTTTATTTCTTCAACTACAAATTCTAGAACTTGTACACATTAGTTTAGCTAATTTTTGCTGATAATCTCAAGTTCACAGTAGACGCTAATTCAACAATATCACTTATTGATACTGTTCAACTCATTTTATAACTTTCTAAGATATTCCAAATGTCAAGCCACACACATCGCGTCCCATCAAAATTTGCTGTGGCCAATATCAATATAAGTATATAAAATAAAAACAAACAGTCTAGAATGCCAATTACAATCGATAATACATAATACATCATTATACAAGTTCTTGCTTTACAATGCTATTTATTTACTTCATTTTGGGTTAAAGCTTAAGATATTATTTTTGTAAATATACAACAGTATAATGGGTTTGGAAGGTTTATAGCATTTATTAAATTGAAACATATGTCGTTTTTTACTCATTATTGGTTGTTCATTTTACTCACGTAAATTAATAGATATAATTAAACATATTGGAAACCACCTGGCACTGGTTAACTAACTTTTAAGTTTCATGCAGATTATGCTTAGTTTAGTGCAAACTTATAACTGTGTTCAAAGTCTAAAGAATCATCCTATCGGTTTAAGCTAATATATTATAGGTCAAAGCTTACGAATTGTAGATTTAGGCGTGGTATTTGTTGTTACAGTTATTATTCACGTTTGCCTTTAAGTTGCAGTAAAGTTTGTGATTGCGTAATTTTGTGTAGTTACCTAAACAGTAAACACTGTCTTGTCAACTTCTAAGAATCCAATTCTAGTCTGTCTTTGAGTCTGGAGTCGTTCGTTAGTAATATTAATACTAGTATTACTTACTGTGATTCAATCATTCAGTGTGACTGAGACGTGAGTCTGTCTTGAGCTTGTGTGACGCTGTTAAACAACAGTGTATTTCTATTAGCTTTAGCGTATTAGTAATCATAATATGCTAGGCTCTGGTGACTAATACTAGAAATTTTAGGTCTTACTCATAGTACTTTGATATTTCTGAGGTATTTCCCTCATAATTTTAATATTAAATTATGGAAGCCACTGCAAAGTATGATTTTAATGCAACAGCAGATGATGAATTGAGCTTCAAAAAAGGGGAGGTTTTAAAGGTAAGTCTCGTTAAATATTGAGATATTAAATTTTCTTCTTTAAGTTTAAAGTATAAATTGAACGATAAAACTTTTTCAACGTAACTTTCGGGATTTGTTTAAGAACTTTGTTAATTAGGCCATTGACACTTGTGTTTATATGGTGGATTAAATTAAAATTTAAATTCGTCAGTACACTTTTTTATGAATCGGAATTACTACAGAACGTGCCAGAAGCATAAGTTTTGCTCTCATCATTCAGTTCATTTGACATGTGTGCTTAGGTTATACTGGAATTTTGCATAAATTGTGGTTAAGTATATATTAAAAATAGTTCCAAGAATATAGCGTCTTTGCTGATGTATTTTGGAGCATGGTCTGGAGAGTCTGAGAGGTTAGCGATTACTATAGCTCTAGAGAGATTTTAAGTAAGACTCTTGTTTTGAAAAACGGGAAATTATTATTGGATTTATCATAGAATACTTCCAACCATAATGATCTGTGCATTTAGTAACATTTTTCTTATATCAGAAACAAACAAACAAAAATCTGAGACCTTAATTTTAGGAAAAAATATTTTTCTCGTGAGTCTGAAGAACTTTCGGAAATTTTATGTGATTTTTTACTTACATCACACTGTTAAAAAATGTGCTTGGAAAGATATTATTAATATTGTTGTTCTGATGTGACTGGAAATACTTTCAATGAACATTTGATGCTACTTATGATTTTGAAGGTTAAACTTTGATTTATTAACAGAATTACAGGGTTGTGCAAGAGACACAAGAATTGGTGAGGAGTTCAACTGGGAAAAATATTTGTGCTGGATAAAGTCTCCTACTCCTAATATTTTGTTTCTTGCTCATAACACTGAAACCTCACAAATGCTTTTTGTGACCAAGCAAAGGACACATTTATATTTAACTTTAGACTACACTGTATAAAGAAATGCTTAATATATTTTTCAGGTGCATAGACAAATTATGGGGCATAGTTCAAGTATATATAAGAGCATATTTTTTCTTTCTGTTTTTGTAATTGTGAAATCATTAAATCTATGAGTGTAAATCTGGTTGTAAGTAATTTTAAGGTTTATACAAGTTTTATGTATATGTAGATAATTGTAAGCAGCCTCTTGCATTTTTTTAAAGATAAATGTTTGTATGAGGTGTGACTTGTTATTGTGCAGTATTTAGTGTTTATACATTTTTTTAAACATCTGGATTACATGTATGTAGTTAATTAGTTGTAATATATCTTAAAATTTATTCATGTGTATTCACCTTTATTCCTTTGCATATTTGAAGTATTTTATGTATAGACTACTTTAAGTTTGTCATGTTCAAATACGAGTCCTAGTTCAGGCATAGTAACTGTAATATATGTATATACCATAAAAAATAGAAATATTAAGAGCAGTTCATTATCTTCAGTCTTTAATTGGAAGCAGAAATATGCCATAGAAGAATATGAGCTATATGTATTCTTAAAATGGCCATTAGGCTTAATCTCAAATTTTCTCAGGTTCTAAATGTTGAAGATGACATGAACTGGTACAGAGCAGAACTGGATGGAAAAGAAGGTCTCATTCCAAGTAATTATATTGAAATGAAGAAACATGAGTAAGTGTTAAGTGTAGTATGTAAAAATTATTTATGTAGTGCTTCTTTCTCAGTAAGACCTAGTCAGCTATTTACATACTTGTATATAAATCCTCCTAGTAAAATTTGTTTTTATTAAAACTTGTCTGAAGTTACTCTTAATTTTAGTCTACAGTGTAATGAAGAATTTTATTCAGTGTCAGCAAGTAGTCAGGATAGCATGCTTTAAGACTTGTGAAATTGAAAAAAAAAAGTATGTTACAACTTATGAATTTTCAGTAAACAAATGTGATGTGAATATTTGTGTGGGAACTGTAAACGTGAGCAAATGGCCTACAAAGCACAATTTAATTGTAAAATTGTTAAGGGAATTGATAGTGTTGATGCATCATCCTTTTTCATATTTATCGGTGAGAATGGTATAACTAGGGGACACAAATTATAAATTTTAACAGAACATTATTCAATTCAGTTAAGAAGACAGTTTTATTTTTCTTAGGAGTTTGGGATAAATTGCTTTCAGATGTGATGTATGCAGTAATTTTAAGGGAATTTAAGACAAGACTTGAGAAATATTTGAAGTTTTGTTTTGTACTAGTTGGAATGGCCTACATTGATAAACAGTTCTTAGGTGAGGCAGCTGAGTTGAGGTTAATTTTGTGATTGTGTCAGCTGCTGATAAAAAAAAAAATTCTCTTGCACATCTTACTTATGATTTATATGTACTGAATTAGTCGGAGATTATCTTGATGTAGAACTGTTGTGTGCTGCTGTTGAAAGCCAAATAAAATTATTCAAGTATTATGCGTTTAACCTTTTCATAACACACAAATTTAATGCATCTTTATTCAGACATATTCAGGTAATTTTTGCTTTCGTGTGTTTCTCTAGGTGGCCAGTATGCTAAAAACATTTCTCGTTACCCTTATGTAATATTTTGTGTGCAGTAGTGGCTTGAGTTAGGCAATTAGTGGAATTTTATAATCAATTGATCATCAGTCTCATTAATCGGTTACATTCAACTAATTGATTATTCTCACTTGAGACTTAGTAGCTGATACAATTGGAAACACTAATTTTGATGAGTTGCTTATTTTCATGAGTTTGTAACACTAATTAAACTGAACAACCTTTAATTAACCAAATAATAACGAGAACTCATACTAGCAATATTTCAGTTATTTGGATAGTTGGAATAACCTGAAACATTAATAATTGAAAACTCTAATTTCAGTAAGTTATTTTCATGACTTAATCAATTTCATCATAATTAATTGAAATCATTATTTCATATATCACTAGGCAGTAATTTATGTTTATAGGTAATCAGTTAATCAAGTTTATTACCCAGCTCTAATACCAGCACTAGGAGGTGAGCAGGTAATGCTCTGCACCAGGGCCCTCAATCTCAAGGACCCCCCCCAAAAAAAATAAATCTTTATTCAAATTTTAATGTATGATAGAATTATTGTTTTTGGTCAGTTCTGTACTTTGTTAATTTTCATTATATTTTTCATTTTTGTCAATATTTCCTATAAAATTGAAGTAAAATTTAAGAAAGTCCTGTTATAAGTCTGCATCAGGGCCTTTTTGGGCAGAGTTTGAACTTTAAATTAGTTCCAAGTGAAGTCAATTCCTGGTCAGAATAGCTTTAGTGATTGCCCAATACAGTTGTTTAAACAGAAGAAGCAAACTACTTTGACAGTAATGTTTTTGTTTCAAAGTGATACAACTGTATCTTATCTGTTTTTATTATTATTATTTAAAGTTTCAGTTATTCGTACTCTGCACACAAATTCTTCTAACTTCCTATAATTGCAGTCTTGATAGCTAACCTTTTGGTTCAGTTTTACATGAAAATACCACAGTAAAATCACTTAAAAATAACAATTCTATACCTATCAGAATGCTAACAATACATGTGTCAGGCTTTCAGAAAAGATATTAAAATGTAGCTAGTGAAAAAAACCCACAATAAATAGAACAAACTATCAGAAGTCTGATATAAAAGGAACTAGTTTTGACGCATTCGTGCATCCTCTTCAGTCTCACGTTGTCTTCTGGTAGGAAAAAAAAAAGGTTAACAAACAGCTACGTGACCCCTGATCTCTGAATTCCCTTAAGGACACAGGAGGTCAGGAATTCTGAGATCAGGGGTCATGTAGGTATTTGTTGACCAGTTCTTTCCTGCCAGAAGACAACATGAGACTGAAGAGGATGCACGAATGTTTCGAAACTAGTTTCTTTGATATCAGACTTCTGAAAGAGTGTTCCGTTTACTGTGGATTTTTCACTAATTGCTACACACGTTATTGTGTTCATTTATTATTAAAATATAACTAGTTACAAAATTTTTCTTATGCTACAAATAACTCTGAAAGTATGTATGGGACATGAATGTTATTTAGAAGCATAAAAATCAAGTTAACTGTAGCTGTTTTTTTTCTTTTTTGTTTTTGTTTCCACATTCCTCCTAATTTGTCCAGTGTCGCTCAAAATCAGATGTGTGTAAAAATAGTATTTCAGATCTATCTTTTGTCACCCACAAGTTGCTGCCCAAGAAGCTATTTATTCAATACCAAAACTCATCAGTTAGGCTGGATGATGATAAAAACCTCATTAAAATGTGATCTATATATTCATTGTAATACTTTAAAAGTTATAGTTTAAATGCCAAAAATTGGTGTAGTATTGGAAACCAATTATGTGTAATAACAGATGCAGGAAATATGCCGTTCATACTACATCTGTGTCTGTAATGTAGACCTTAGTTATACTTTAGTGTCTGGGAGTCAGTTATTCACTAAGACTTTACGTGGTTTCAGCTGGTACTATGGTCGGATTACAAGGGCGGATGCTGAGAAGCTGCTCATGAACAAACTTGAAGGAGCTTTTCTAATTCGAGTGAGCGAAAGTTCTCCTGGAGATTTCTCTCTTTCTGTGAAGTAAGTTTTGTAACAAATGTATGTATAAACAGTATATTTGTATTTGAGTTGTACTTCCATTATATGCAGGGTGAGAATCCTGTAGTAAAAGATACTAAGGATATTATTTTTGTTGTGTGTGATGTATGGGATATTTACATAATCAAGTGTTAATCATTCATTCATTATTAATGGTGGTAGACACTTTGAGCATTTGTGATTTTAGATTATTGAATTATAAACAAAGCCACCAAGTTACTATTTTTTTTCTTTTGGCACATATCATTTTCATAGATAATCGGTGTTTATAATTTAATCACCAGCTCATTCTCTACCTCAGTTAATGAAATGTATTGGTAGTGTGGTTGATAAAGTTAAGATACTTATTAAAAGTATATAATTCATAAGTTAGTTTGCCTGAGCTTGCATAAAGTTTTGATATATTTTCATATGGTTAAGATTCTTACTTTAAGCATTGTTTGTTTCATATTTAGTAAACAAATTCATGATTAAACTTTCAACATCATATAACATTACTACTTGTACATGGTTTGATACTGGTATTTTTTTTTTTATAACAGGAAAACTTGTGTAATTAAAACTGACAGTATTTTGTAATAAGTCTTCTCAAAATCAGTATAAAACAGTGGAGTTTGTATTAAATTCTACTTTTTCTTTCATTATAAATTGAACTTAGTTTTTTATTGACAGTTTCTGTATCATTATAATTTTGATATATATTCATATTTACTAATAAAGTGTTTCTTTTAAAAGAATGGAGATTAGCAGTATTTAACAGAAATAAGTTATTGTTAAGATCTGGCTGAACTGAGATTAACTCGAACCAAGTTATAGGACTTCTAGTTTAATTGTACATTATTTTCAGAAGGTAGCAGTAAGAATTAGGAAATAAAGATAATTCATTTAAATCTTATAATACAAGACTTGGACTTCTGTCCAGATAAAACAATAATATGTGAAATATTTCAAAGTACATGAAGATTTTTATTGTAAGTTAACAAAGTGTATAATTTTGAGACAACAAAATACTATTCATGAAACTGAAATTCAAGAGTAAATCGTGAAGATCACTTGAATCTGTTGCTTGCTTTCTGCTTACTGGCATGTTTTTTTCGAAGGTGCTCAAGTGGTGTCCAACACTTCAAAGTACTCCGTGACATGCAAGGAAAATTCTTTCTTTGGGTTGTGAAATTTAATTCTTTGAATGAACTAGTGGATTATCACCGGACAGCATCGGTCAGTCGCTCCCAAGATATCAAGCTTATGGATATGCAACCTGAACAGGTTTGTTTGGTTTATTTTACAGTATTAATATGTAGCATATGTTAATAAATGGACAAGAAATGTATTGCAAACTATGGATTAGTGAGGCTTACTTTGAAAACTTTAATTTTTTTATAAAAGCCTAACACAAACTAAATTACAAAAGTTTTTTTTCTGTTACATTACATTTCAAACATTTTTAGGGTTTTTAGCTTAAAATCATTTTTGAGGTACCATTTTAACTGTAAGAGGTACCCAAAAGTCAAGGGATCACGGGCACTGCCAATGTTCCCAGCATGTTCCATGCACAAGTTTTGTGAGAATATAGTTGTTGTTTTTTTTCTACTTCTTCTTTTTGGTTTTAAGAGTAATAATTTATAAGACAGTGCAAATTATTTATAAAAATATAATACAAACACTTGCACAATAAAACCAGTTGTAATCAATTTTATCCAAAACATAAAAAAAAAATCATGGAAATATTGAACTATTTCTTTGAGGAATGAATATAATAATTTTCAGTTACTAGTATATAACTGCTTTTTTTCTTTAACCCTTTCGTCATGGGTGAAAGGCCATGTCATCTTGTTTGTTGACTCGCATTCAAAATTTTATTGAACTGTTGAAAATAAACATAATCTATTTTTGGATTAATTTGGAGGCCAGCGAAGCTGGAACGGTCCCTCCAGGACGGTACAAGTACCCCGGAGCACTGGACCAACGTTTGGGGAGATTTCCAGAACCCACGCTTTCCAACTTCACCCCAGGTTACTGTATGTGCATACAATCATAACCCCATGCCGGGGTCAGAGGATTAATGGGGAGGACATCATATGGATCCTAGGATTTGAAATATGATACCACGCATACACATACAGCTCCAGGCTCGGCCCCACTGAAGATTTGAAAGAAAGAAGACCGCTATATAATGTGTTGATTTGATGATTAAGAAACTGGTGTTATTAAACTGAAACATCAATAATATGTATACAGATCGTTCACTTGCAAAGATACTTTGGGTGCTTGATACAATGAATATTAATTTAATTAATTTTTTATTTATTTACTTATTTTTAGTGAAATTGTTGGT